ATAAGAAATACGATGAAAAATGTTGCCAAACCCATATTTCTAAAAGAATGAAACTATTCAAAATGATGCGATTTCATCAAAAATCTATCAACAACAATAAGACAGGAAAATTGTTGCCAAAATCACATTTTTAAAGATGTGAGATGTGAGAAGTGTACTCGGAAGCTTCATTAAAAAAAATCTTTTAAAAATACAAAATATTATCATTTTTCCAAAATTCTTTTTGTAAAAGCATTCGCAAGGATGAAAGTTTAACGTGTCCAAAAATCAAAGAAAAAAAGAAAAAGAAAAATAAACTGTACATTTTTAAAAATAAACTTTTTTAGAAAAAATCCCATTGAAAAAGTGTTAAGCTCCCTTTGTTAAATAAATTCGTATTTAATCGATTTATTGAAACACGAAATTTATTTTAAGTTCGTAAAATAGCTAAGTGCCTACGTTTCATGACGATGTGAAAATGGAGTGTGTGTAGAGTAAAAAATCTCGCTTTCCTATAGCCCATTATGTTTCAAAATGACACGATTTCGTCACAAAACATGAAATAAAAAAATTCGAATTCGAATTTCGAAAAAAAAAATCGCTTCGAAGTGCACTGGCTCTTGTGTAGATGTACCTATGTACCAAATTTCGTAGCCGTGGGGTCTATTAGCTTACGCGCAGCGCGAACGAAAGGCACACACACAGACAGACTCTTTCTTTTATATATGTAGAGAAGATAGTATGTAGAGATAAGATTGTTTAAGGGAAGGAAACTTTTAAGTTTCGCAGCTGTACTCTGACCCTTAAGACGGTCATCACGGAGAGAGTCTAGCCTTTTGCAATTCTCTTGAGAGCTCACATCTACCGAACAATATCTAGTGTAATCAATCTCACTTAGCGGAATCATTGAAGTAAATTTCTGGGAGGGATGGGAAATAACAAAAGAACTGCATGACAATTTTCAGAGGTTTAGGGTTATTTTCGCGACATTTTACGAGAACTTCGGTCCAAAACTAGCGACAGTTTTAAAGGGATTCGCAGAAAATCACTCGACAGGCTAAGGGTTAACAGCAAGACCTGGATCACAATTACTCAAGATGCAACACCTTTTACCAACAAGGAACTGAGCCAAGTTATTTCTCACATTACCTTTAAAGAAAGGGCCAGAGCCGGATGGATTGAATAACACAATTATCAGAATAGTTCACAAAAACTTTCCGGAGCTGTTCTTTTCTCTCTGTGTAATGCATGCTGGAGACTGGGTCATGTTCCGATTTCAATGAAGGTAGCAGAAATTACACTATTCAATAAAAAAGGAAAGGACCCAAGAGATCTAGCCTTGTACCGCCCAATCAGCCTACTGCCAAACACAGGCAAACTTCTAGAAAAAGTAATACTTAATAGGCTCAACTAAATATTGCAAAAACACAATGTAATCAGTGAGAAACAATACGGCTTTAGGGAAGGGAATCTCGACAGGCATGGCAGTACAGGACCTTCTGGACTGGATGGTACAGGATGATATAAAGCAGAATAGAGGTTCCAATAGGCATTATCTCGTTGGACATCAAAGGTGCCTTTGACACAGTCTGGTGGCCTGACATCACTTGCGAACTAGAAAAAGCGCACAGCTCAAAGCAGTTCTTAAAACTCATCAGAAGCTACTTAGAAGACAGAACAGTACAAATTACCATAGGCAAAGAGATATTAATGAAGGATCTGAAAAGAGGATGTCCGCAAGGATCATGCCTAAGACCCACATCATGGAACCTGGTCGCTAACACTGCCTTTGAGGCATTGGCATGAAGTTACTAAGTTAAGATTCAAGCCTTTGCGGAAGACTTTTTCCTCATAGTATCAGGAGTTAAAGATATAGAATAACGAGCTGAAAAAGCAGTCGATGCTTTTGTAAACTAAGCAAAGACTTACAAGCTGCAAAGAGCAGGAAATAAAACAAAAATGCAATTATGAAATAAGCACTATTTGTGGGACGGTAAGGCAGAATGAGACGGAAACCAGTTGTCAAAATCAACAATCAGTCCATTCAATGTGTTAATACTTTACGATATATAGGGTTCCTCATAGACAACGGCCTATCCTGGATACCGCACATCAAGGACCTAAAACAAAGATGCAGCAAGATTGCAAACAATATGACAAAGGGCACTGGGAGACTCCTCCTCGACTAATAAGACACTGGTATCTAACAGTAATAGAGCGCATCCTACTTTATGGAGCAACGATTTAGGGCGTCAATCAGACTCAAAATATGAAAAACCTGCTCAACTCAATACAAAGACAGCATCTCATACTAGTTTGTAAAGCTTTACAAGATGACATCAACAGCAGCTCTGAAAATTTTTGCAGGGATCCCTCGCTCGATCTGCAGGCCCAAAGGGAAGCAGCAATTGTAAAAGTCACCCTCATTGTAGTCTATACAAAATTATGGGGTAAGCACTATTTTGCTGTCGATTATGAAGAAATGCTGACCTCAAATATTGGACACCCAGCAGCCTTCAATCTAGCGAATACGGTTACCATTATGTATAAAGCTCCTGCTCACATCGACTTTTCAATCTACACCGATGGGTCTAAGACAAATGAGGGTACTGGCAGTGCATACTGTTTTCTAAAAGGTCCTAGTACAGTGCACACATGGAATCGTAGACTAGATGCCAGGTACACCGTCTACCAGGCAGAACTATCAGCAATCAAGGCAGCCATAACGTATGCAAGAAGGAATGGCATTTGCAAGTCAACAATATTAATTGGCTCATTTTCCAGTCTACAGCCCATTCTGAGCATTGAAAACAAGAAAAAGTTATTCCAGGACACTCAGAGAAAACTCCTAACACAATCAGAAGCTGAAAGACCAAAACTAATTTGGGTTCCAGCTCATGTAGGCATCCATGGAAATGAAGTAGCGGATCAATTAGCAAAAGAGACAGCCAATGATACAAATAGGATCGAAACTCCAGAAAGACTTCCCAAATCTTACATGAAAAAGTAGACATTGAAAGACGTGGTAGAAGAATGGTAAAGACGATGGTCAACAGGAGAAACAGGCAGACGAGTCTATTCATTCTTTCCCAAAGTAAAGCTAGCGCAAAGAAGTACCACAAACGTTTTAACTCAGTACTTCTCGGGCATAGACCCTTCCAATCTTACCTCTACAGATTCAGTCTTAGAATCACGGATGGGTGTCAATGCGCAGAAGTCGGTGATCCAGATCATTACCTTTTACAGTGTCCAAACACAAGCACAATCCACTTAAAGAAGTTCTTAGAAGTCCATAAGCCAAAATGGGCTAACAAAGAATACAGTTGATCATAGGAAGCTTAGAGACATAATGCAGCACTGCAGCCTATTAAGTAATGTTCCAGTTGGAAGCATTTACTAGAACTAAACTGGTGTGCAAAACTTAAGCAACAATGTAAAAATTTAGCAGATACCCATGAAATTGCAGAAAAGGAGGTCTGGAGATCAGTACAATGAACAGTAGAAACGTCATGCGTATGAAAATATCAGGAACGAAACGTTAGAGGCGACGTGACATGGACCTTATAAGACATAGACCAACCCAGTGGGCGTGGCGCGCGTCACCGACTTGTCGGCAAGGAAGAGTAGGGATGATCTAGTTTACATTAACACTGAAACCTATGGCGTCTGTGTCATATAACTGTTTTTAATTGTTAAATGTGATACGATGTAAAGTAATGAGATTATGAAAGCCACACTTTTTTCCAAATAGGATCTAATATATCTCATTAAAGCACTTTTTACTGCATCACGCGCATTTTTTTCACGCGTAATTCTTGTACAAACATATTTACTTTGGAAAACGGTAAAAACTCTAAGCACAAAATTTATGAACTTAATTTTGCATACAAATGACGTAAAATTAAATAAGATTGATAGTACGTGATGCTTTGAAATAAATAAGGTAAAATTAAACAAGATCTGATAAATTTTTTTAAAAAATTTAATGACCATTTTCAGGCAGTGATTTTCAAAACTATAATAACATTACAAAACAATCATTTATTTGATTATATCATCATTAATATATTAACATTAAAGTGGATTATTTATTTTAGTAATTTATAAAATTCGGAGCATAAAATTTTCTGAGTATAATGAAAGGAAAAAAAAAAGATAAAATAAAATCTAGAAGCACACATATTTTTTATTACGCCCCAAAAGGAACCTTCCTTTAACGTTTTGTGTGTTACCTATATTTATTGAATATCATGTTCTTCGCCCGTAAACCACATTTGAAACATCTCCCGTAACATTTGAAAACAGCATATCTTTAGAATTTCCGCACTGGAGATAAAAATTTTATTTTCCGTACAGTGTTGCAATTGCTCTCTTTAAAATCGTTGAATTTGTTAATAAAAAATCTGTTAAACTTTTACAAAATAAGAAATAACTAATAAAACAAATTCAAAATTCGGCCGTCCAGATGCCCATGTTCGGGTGGAGGATTACATTATTCAAAATTTGATGGCTCTAGATACCGTTGTTTTTGTCACAGTACGAGAAACATACACGTATTCATGCAGATTCTTCATTATTTAATTTCTTTAAATATAATACAGGGCGATAATGTTTGGTAACAACAATTTGCAAGGAGACACGACAATTTATAGTGAAACAGCGCAAAATATCGCTTTGAGCTAATAAATTAAATTAACCGTAAATAAATAAAATCTTATGCAGAACTAAAAATAAATTAAAAAATAATCACTGTAAAATTCAAGCAAAATTAATTACTATGGTTAAATACAATTTTAATATTAGAATTAAATGTATAAACATTTTTAAGGAGTCAAAAGTGTTTATCACTATGATGTATTATGAAATATAATTCAAGTAAAATTCCTTTATAGAAATTGTGCTATAATACTCATCTATAATTTTAAAATAGCAGCACAATTTTGAATTTTAAACAAAATTTTCAAAAATTCGTTTTTAAATATTTTAGTATTTTTTACAAATTTACACCAATAAAAAGCATAAAAATTACTTGTTTGAAAATTTCTATTAGTTCAGAATAAAAATATTATGTTCTAAAAGAAGTAGTTACAAATTTCCTTACAGCATATGAAGAGCTAAAAAAATATCCAGCCCTGAAAGCATGCAATAGCTTTATAATTATTTGGAACGTTAATTATGCTTGATAAATACGCTAAATTTTTAAAAATCAATCTCAATTTCAAAAATAAAAATATGTAGAAATTCTAATTTGTGAAATGAGGCTCTACAACCAGTTTTTTCTTGACAATTATACACGCTGCAATAGGCAACCACTGTTAAATTTCTGCAAGTCATCCCTACTCCTCCGGATGGGATCGAGGTGACAGCTGGGAACGCATCAGACGAGGGAGAAAACACATTTGGGTTAGTCTATTTCTTAGAAGATCCATGAGCCGACATTGTTTGCAGATTAGATTCCCGTGCGGTTTACACTGTGTCATATTAAGAAAAGGAATGTGGTTTCCGAGCTGATAATACAACATTGTACAGTCCAACACTATACAACGTTGTCCATCATTTATTTATAATTCAATTTCATTTGAAATTTAATTAACTTTAAGTTTGCTTTTTAAGAATAGAGATTGTTTGTTAAATTCAAATTGTACAGTTCACGATATATTAGATGAAAATACTCTTAAAAATTAATATTTCATTGTACGAAAAAAAAAAACACTAATCTTATAAGCTAGTCCTGTAAATCTAGAGGCCGTCCAAGCAATCTTAAGTAGCCAGCGAATATATTTTCTATTCAACAAATTAGCGTTATTATGATACTAATTATTACGACAAAGATTTTTAACAATTTTTTATTATTTTGATTATTATTAAAATCGAAGATGAGTAAAGCCTCTGAAAATCTGCAAACTGTATCTTTAAACTAATTCAGAGATTTGAAGATATGGTTTTGGTTATTTAGATGACTTCGAATTAAAACTGTTATAGAGTATTTTAATTCCATTATTACGTTTTACTTTTACTGATGCTAGTATAGTGATGTTCGAAGAATCAGGGAACTTCCGGAGTTAAATCAATTCGCACATTGACTACAGTCATATTGGTTTAAAAATATTCAATTTAAGGAAAAAACATTATTACCAAAATGCAGATTAATGTTTTCACATGTTTCCGTACCCTGTTGAGACACGTAAATTATACCAGATATGTAGAGAATAATAATATAAAACAATTAACACTGAGACCTTGGTTTTGCCATTAATCTCAGAAATACTTCGCTTCAGTTTCTAAATGGTATTCACTGTATTTGATCAATATTAAGCTTTATCTCTGATAGCGTTTTAAGAAAATTTTGTGATATCCCTTTACTAACGTTTAAACAAATGCGTGCAGCTTATACAAATTGGATTATTACATACTTAGGAAAATAAATCCTTAAATTTCTTCATTTAATTACATGTGACATAGAAACGGGTTTCGATTGGATGATGACTTGGATTTATAAAATTATATATTACAATGCAATGTATTTTTAAATTATACTTTGAAATTATATTTACAATTATTTTTCGTAGTTGTTATGAAAAACGTTATAAGAAATATGATACTTACTAGTTTTTTCGAACACTCTAGTGATATATTTGCTCTTAAAATTGCTAATGTTTTGATTTAAGTCTTTTTCATGTTTTAAATGAAACTGCTTTGCGTATTTTAGGCAGAGCGGTGGTTTTTGAATAAATTGTAGTTTTATAAATTATGCTGCTTGGTTCTGTGGTTAAATTGTTTCCTCAGTTTGCTGCTCACTGCAAAAGCTATTAAAAATGTAATTCAAATGTTCCATTTACAGCCTGATGAAGATTTTAATATTTTTGAAAAAAGATTTGATATATGCTTTCAACAGCTGAATTATGTTTATTTCAGGAGCGCTTTCCAAAAGCTCCACCGGAAAGTTTTATCAGTTAAAGTACATAGTGGACAAATTGCGGAACGCGAATATTTTTTTTTGGCCTGCTAAGACAGTCATAAAATCCGCTTTGATTCGCGATTTCCTTCAAGTGCGCAATCGAAGATTCATATCGCATATCGCTATGTATCTGGTTACGCGGAGTTAGTTATTCCGCGTAACCATGACGAGGAAAGTTCTCTCTGGGTATTTTATGTGCGTTGAGATCGCTGCTTTTTGCATTTTTGTGAGTGATCGTCTTGCTGCGTTTATGTGCTGGGATATTTTTAAACTACCGTGACTATTATTTCAGCCAAAGATAATTCTCCCGTTGGAGAATGATAATTCTCCCGTTGAAATTCTCCCGTTGGAGAATATTTCGAATAGTGTGTGTGTGAAGGCGCTAGGAACTATTACGTAGGCCGAAGAATCGTGCTTTCCGCATGAACATGATACATACCTTGTAGTGGAATTTCTTACTAAATTCTATGTCTTTTATATTTTTGAATTCCTGAATAATATGATCGACGATATACATGTGCACAAATGACTATCTCTATATTTTTCAAAATGTGATACTTCGGATTGTGCACGTGTTGACTGGCTCATCCAAATTTGAAAATAACCTCTCTCCGTACTGAAACATAAGCTTGCGTTCATAAAGATAATATCGGTTCTGTGTTCTGTGGTGGCCTAAATATTGCCAGCACTATTTAACTCTTTAAAAGTTAAATGCACACTTTGAGAGAGTGCCAAATGAATTAGATAAAATGTTTTTAGTGTACCAGAGACTCGAAGAAAACTACAGGCTATCTAATCAAAACCAACTAAGAATTCTGAAAAGTGTGACAGCGGACTCAAATTGGTTTATTCCATAAAATTAATGAATTTCGTATTTTTGTGAATGATTACAATCCCGATGTAATTCTCTTGCAGGAACACAAGCTCAGACTAGGGGCAACTATTACCATCAGTAATTATACCTGTATAGGCTAGTTAGAAGTCGTAACAGCCAATGTAGGGTGGGGCCTAATTATTCTAATTAAGAGCAAAATCACCCATTACCATACGAC